ATCACCTCAGTGGACTTTCATTTCGTATATCCCTCAGCGCAGCAGGAATTGTGCATCTCCATATGTTGCTTACAGAGGAGAAAAAAGATCGCAGTGTTCCACGTGTCCACACGAAATCCCTCACATTTCATGAGGCACTCGGCCTCTTCCTCCACCCCTCGTTTTGTACAGTCCGCGGGACTGCACAGCAATGAGGCCGGCACCGCGTGCGGTGCAACAAAAGCAAATAAAACAGGGGGAAGCACGTCACTCATGAAAGTGTGCAGCTAGCGGCGAACAAAAAATAAATTAAAAAATAGTAAAAAGACAGGGGTTCTGACCCCTCCTACAAGGCACCAGCAGCACATTATATCCAGAGGTGAAAACAAAAGGGATAAATAAAAAGTCCCCAACAGAGTGCATTGAGTCTTCCTGAGGAGCTGCACACCCTTTTCCACGGGGAGTCGCGGCTCCACTCCCACCGTCTCACACAGCTGAGAGCTGCAATGCCCAGAGCCCCAGAAGGAGAAGCAACAAGATCCGAGACACACACACACACACACACCGTGCCGTAGCCACTAGAGCCCTTCTCCAAAAAAGTGTTGTTCGTGAGCTGAGAGGCGTTTCCATCTTTGGAACCACTGCCAGTTCCCGCTGGATCATCCGGTCCTTCAAGCATTTTCCCAGAAAGAGACTCTGGAAGAGCAAGGCTGCTGGCACCAACTTTTGCGGCTTCTTCCCGGGTCAATATGCGGTTGTACAAAAAGACACTCGTCACTGTCACATACTTGTTTTGGTTCTCGGTGTCGCTTGCACTGCTTCCATTCCCTCCAATGTAAAATTGTGAATTCGCGCGTGGCCCCTTTCCCGATGATGATGTCGTTTCAGCATCCCACGCACACTCACCATTGATCTATACGAAGGCCTTGTTGGCGGTCCTGCAGCGTGAGCATAACTCGTTATTGTTTGTTCAACTCCCAAAAGCCGGTGTGTTTGTTTGCGTTGAACACCACACCCCAACTCCCTTCATGGCTGTGCGACAGCCAAAAGTGCACAGTGCGGCCCGCTTCCTTCGCGCCAATCAAAGGGATACTCTTGACGCCTGCATGTGTCTCGCGGATAGCCACCGTCGCCACAAGAGCGAAGTCGTAATTCACAAAGCCACAGTGATTATTATCCTCCCAACGGTTCACGGGGCAATGTTGCCCTGCGAATTGAGGCCCATTTGTGACATTGTTGTCATTCGTCAGTGTTGCAATCATGCAACGGCACTCGTCGATCCACGTGTTGGCAGCGCCTGCGTTGGAAAGATATCCAACCAGACCCACCGTACTTACGGGCGACGCGGAGAAGGAAGCGTCCACGTCCGCCCAATTACGGAGGATGGAAGTGATCATCTGCAGCTCCTCCGTCAGGGGAGGCAGGAAACAGGCTGCTTTTCTCTTCATTGTCCCTCGCTCCCACAAGGTGCAACGCACCATCCGAGTACAGCAGGGCGTTGGCAATCGGCTTATTCAGAACAGCCTCCATGAAAGCCGGTCCAACACAAAACACGCGGTTGCTGTCAGTCACCCAAACGTAGAGCGCACGGGTCTCACTCTCCCACCACGGGGAGCTCACTTTCCGAGCCTACAGCATGACGCTCTTTCCTCCAACGGTCGCAGTGACAATGGCTCCCACACGCAAGCTCTTTTTCCAAAGAACCGATTGTGAATTGGCCCAAACGCCCGCAATTGCCCCGGGTACTTCCACCCACATTGTCCCCTTGTCACGTGACTCGTGCACTCTGCAGTACCGGCTCCCATAGCAATGGGTAGTCACGAGAAGTTGTCCCGGCTCTCACTCGGCAATGAGAAGGTCAATGCAGTCCGCAGGAAAAATGTCCCTGAAAGCACTCAGCTGCTGCCGCCGTCCGTCGAACAGATGACCATGGAGAAATCGTCTTTTTCGTCATTATACGCAATCACGGGGACACAAGCGTGCCATTCAAAACACCTGAGCCACAAAAAAAACCTTCAATCCATTCGCGCCGCGTTCGTGAGTCTCGGGAATGATCTGTGATCACAGCAATTTGGGCTCACACCAGTGGATCAGCTCGCTCCGTCTGCCGTCATTGGGCTGCGTGAATTCACCCACAACCAGTTGAACATCACGGTCTCTCAACGCCCAATTGAACCCACCATTCGTACCAAGCTTTTGCTAGCTTCCCGCACGAAGAAACGCCCTATTGCCGCTCTCAATTGTCGTGGGATTGGACGCGGAGCCTACACCACCCTTTATATTCGCTGTACTCAACACGATGTGTGTATTCCGGCCATTATTAAACTCACCAAAAAAAGAAGACAAATTCCACGCAAAAAAGATGGAACCCGACACAATATCCGCATGAGAAAGCACACTCGGTGCCCCATCGCTATCATTAAGCGTCGTGTAACCCCCATCAAAGACAACCGTCACTCCACCAACACCCACAAGAGCGAGCGATCCAAACGAATCCCTCCTTCCACTTGCACCAGTCCCACCCTTCGGCTCCAAATACGTTCGTCCCGGAAAAAAATAAAAGCCACCCACGGCAACCGCGCAATCACCTAATTCTCCCCCGTCGATGCGGTCGCAGCTCCACAGGTGGCGCAGCACATCACGACGAGGAGGAGAAGCACCGCGGAATAGAAGTGAAGCCGGGACATGTTGGGCCTCCGCGGTTCACTCTCTCTTCCCTCCTCCTGCCGCTGGATCCGGTCACGCGGCGACGGTTGTCTGTGCGGGGTGCCTTCACTGAAGCAACACGTGAGAAAATACAAATATGTGTGTGTGGGCGGTGTGTGTGCTGTTGGTCCTTTCAGGGTCTTCAAGTTTCACAGTGGCGAGTAGCGCTTGTTTGCTTTCCCTCCTAGTGTGTCCGTATGCATGAGGCGGAGAAGAACAACAGTGGCAATACATCAGACACGTCAGTGAGGAGCAGAGCAGAGCACCCACGCAGAGAGTGGGACAGAAGAGAATCCGTAAGGGACAGCACGGAGAGCCATCGCACACAGAAAAGAGCAGCAACACACTCACGCGGGGTGCGAGGAGAGCACCGACCCTCTCGCAGACACCGTACCCAACAGGGAATGACAGACAGATAGGCGGATAGAAATGAATGGATGGCGTCAAGACGCACTCACAATCAACATGGCCCGTGAGCATGCGGCCACTCCACGCAGGAACACAGGAGGAGAAGATAACAGGGGAAAAGCAAGAAGCAGCACAAACACACACGGAAGAAACAAATTGCGGGCGGGAAAAGCACCGCCAAGGCCCTCGCCCTGGCCGGCAACTCCACACCAGACCCCACACACACACACCATCGCAGTGCTGCCAGTCCGCGGGTGAGAGGATTCGGCCCTTCACACAAAAGGGAGGCACACACCGCCAGCAGCCACCCACCAATGGACGAGAAGAAGTGACCCACCGCCATCATCGCCTCCAGTTCAATCCCACGGACAACGAGACACGGCCACAGCCCGCTGCCAACAAACACAGCGCACACGGAGCCAGCAAACAACCAAAGAGCCACACGCAGAAGCGATTCCTCATCCATCCATGACGCGGCAACAACATTTCCAGTCATTCCACCCACAATGGAATTTGATGCCCGACTCAAAGCGGTCACAGGCGGTGCATCACGCCTGCAGGAAAAGTGACTCGCCGTGCTCTCCCTCTCTCCTCCCCCCGCTTCATGCCCACAGAAGGAGGCGCCAGCCACCCGCACGCAACAAAAAAATAGCATCCAAATCCACTGCAATCTGCATCTTGTGTGTCTGTGTGTGTGTGCCTGCTGACACACAAGTCAAAAAAGTAAAAAACAAAAGCAGAGCATTTAAAGAAACAAAAAAATTCTACAGCAGAAGTGCATGGCAAAAATAACAGGACTGCTCAAGCTCATGATATTGCACTGCAGCCCAAAGCAGCGGCAATTCATAAGAAATTAAATAAAAATAATTTAAAAAATTCATCTTCACCTTTCCACAACTCACACTTCAAAAAAAAAAAAAAAAAAAATGAAAAAAAAAATGAAAAAAAGAAAAAAATGGAAAAAGTAAAAATGAAAAAAGTCGTCCTCTATTACGGCTACACACAAATAAGAAAAAGAAAAAGAAAAGCCACACAAAAAAAATTTCACCCGGTTACCGTGTGGCCATACCAAACTGTTTTTTTATTTTGTCCGAAAATAAAATTAAAAGATATTTAAATGTCTTTCAGCCGTCCGACCCTCCGTGTGTCCGCACATCGTTTATATTTCATGGGTCATCTGCGTGTTGCTGCTCCCCTCAGCCCTCCCATCGGCGCGTGAGTGCGGCCCGCAGAGCACAGTCACTCGTGTGTGTGGGGACTGAGAGAAGCACGCAGACGTGACGGCGGTCGCGTCACTCCATCGGGAGAGTGAGCGCAGCAAAATAAAAAAGAAAAAAAGAAAACACGGCGGCAGGGTGTGGCTGTGTGTGTGGCGCTGCGGGTGTCTGCCAGCCCTGACCGCTAAAAACAAAACAAGAGGGGAGAAATGTGTGCGCCGCCCCACAGGCCCTCGTCGCACGCCCACACGTCACGGCTCCCTCAGCGCGCCGTTCGTCGCCGCCCCTCCTCATGCGTGCAGCAGGCGAGGCGCACAGGGCCGTCGTCATGAGCGTGTCGGTGGGTGTGCGAGTGGAGCAGTTGGGCGGGAAACACACGGCACCCCTCGCAGGAAGAGTGCAGCAACAAACAATTAAAGAGGGAAGAGTAGAAAAGAAAAAACGTCCACAGTGGTTGCCCCCAAAAGCAAAAAATAGAAGGGATGGGGGATGAAAAATAAAATTAAAAATTTAAACAATTTAAACCATTAAAAATGAAAAAAAAAAAAAACCGTTCATATTGGTTGCCCCAAGGCAACAAGCAAAGAAAAGGGGAGAGAAAAAAAACCGAATTGCGGAGAGTAATTCATTACCGGATGTGCGTCGGTGTGAGGGAGAGCGCAAGTGTCCCACACTGAGGCCGCACACTCCTCACGCAGTCGCAAGGCCCCACAGTCCCAGCAGAAGCAGCAGCGGCAGCAGTTCCCTCCCGTACGCGGAACCAGCATCACCATTTGCCCCACCATCACCCTTTTCTCGTGCCGTCCCTTCATTCCCAGCAGAAGTCAAGCGTCCCGCTGGCGCATGTTGGGTATTGGCGGTTGTCCCCACAGTTGTCCTCCCCGGTGCTGCTGGTAATTCCCGTGGGCCAGGTACAGCAGACACAGTAGGTGCGATAGGAATAGGGGCAATTTTTACTTGTGGTTCCGGAGCTCTCTTCGGAACGGGTTTCCTGTCCTTGATTGCAATCATCTCAGTGGAATTCAGTGGGCGGTTGTACAGAAAGACGTTCGTCACCGTCACACTAGGTTTTTTGCCGATCTCCTCCGGACTGGACTCCTCCCCATCATCATCCTCACCGCACGCGCCAAAGCAAAACCCAAAAGGCTCAAGTGGTGTCTCACCTGTTAACGGCACTTCTTCCTCCCCCAGCAACTCACCATCAACGTACACGGATCTCTTTTTGCCTTGCAGCATGAGTGCCACTTGGTATTCTTTCCCCGCCTTCCATGTGCCACTTTTTGTTGTTTTTTCCTCGTCCTTGAGCATAGTCTCCCACTTGTTATCCGCGGTGTACGACAGTCTCATGATATACGGGGGCTCAGTGTCCCCCAACACCGCAGTCAGTAGAGTTTTCTCGCTCGGGGCCCCTTCGATGGTCACCGACGCCACAAGTGTGAAGTTGTGGCTCAAGGATATATGACGCACATTATCACCCCGAGTGTTCACGGGCCATATTGCCCTGGAGTCAGGCTCCGTCAATTGAAACCCATCCTTGACCTTCGTGGCGTTTTTCACCGTTGCATTCAGGCAAAGGTACTCGTCGTTCCACGTGTCACCGCTGGCCGATGCGTTTGACAATACCGCCACCAGACCCGCCGTGGGTATAGACAAGTTGGAGAAAAAGGCGTCATTTTGCGCCCAGGTCTTCAGGACAGAATTGATTGTACTCAGTTCCTCCGTCAGGCGGGAGAGTGAGATGGCACTGTGTTCACCACTGCCCCTCCGTTGTAAAAGATGCAAATTGCCATCCGAGTGCAGCAGGCTGCTGGCGAGCTCCCAATCCGCAGCAGCATCGTCCATGCCAACCGGTCCAACAAAAAACGAGCGGTTGTTGTCCGTCACCCAAAGGTAGAGAGCAGTGGCCTCCTTCTCCACCGAGGCGTACCCTCTCTGAATGTACAGCATGACCTTCCTGCCCTCGATGGTCGCGGTGATGAGGGCATCCACGTGCAAGAATACTTCCGGATAGTCTTCCGACTGTGAGTTGACCCACACGCCTGGGAGTGTCCCGATGGCCTCCGTCCACGTTTTCCCCATGTCACGCGACTCGTACACCCTCTGGTCGTTCTCGCAGTCAACAATCATGAGAAGTGATCCCTCCCACTCGGTGATGCGGGGGTCAGTGCAGTTCGCAGGTGACATGTCCTCAGAGAGCGCCCAGGTACTGCCGTTGTCCTTCGAGTAAATAATCATGGAGTAAACGCCATCATTTTTTTCATTCACCGCCATCAGTGAAAACACAAGCGTGCCGTCCTCCATCAGAACACCCGAGCCACCAGAAGCAGCAAACTCCTTCAGGTTACCTTTGTGAGCAGCTATAGTACTCCCGTTCAACGGAGACTTGATTTCGCCCCATTCGATCCGTTTACTCTGCTCACTGTCCGTGGGATTCGTGACCTCACCAACAACCAGTTTTATTTCCAAGCTGCCCTCTTTCCAACTCTCATTTACATCGGACAAGGCAGTGCTTCCCACAAGAAGAAACACCTTATTGCCCTTCATGGTTGTTGTGGGGTGGCGCACAACATCAAAACTCTCATTTCCCTCCGCTTTACCAAGCACGGTGCGTGCCCTCCATCCTTCCTCTTTGACCTTTTCGACAAGAGTGGACCATTCCCACGCAGAGTCGATGTACTCCGCAACCACATCAGAAGACGGCTTAGTTGATTCGGTAGGGGGGGTGTTTTTGGCATTTATGCGACCTTCAGCAAAAGCAGCAATTACTCCACCAGCACTGACGAGAGAGGGTGAAACAAATGAATCCCTCCCACTTGAGCCAGTCCCCGTCTTCTGCAGCACCTGCGTCGTCTGCGGCACAAATAGATCGACCTGCTGCGGCCTCTCAACACCCCCTGAAGCACTCCCCTCTGCAGCAATGGCACCCGTCAATGCCGACCCAGAAGGAGTTGAGGCATCAGTGGCCTTTTCCACCTGAGCGGTCGTAGCTCCACGGTCGCAGCACAACACGAAGAGGAGGAGAAGCACCGCGGAAGTAAACACACGCCGGGACATGTTGGGCCTCTGCGGCTCACTCTCTCTTCCCTCCCTCCTCCTTCCGCTGGATCCGGTCACGCGGCGACGGTTGTGTGTGCGGGGTGCCTTGACTACAGCAACACGTGAGAGCATGTAAATATGTGTGTGTGGGCGGTGTGTGTGTGTTCTTGTTCCTTTCAAAGCCGTACAATTTCACAATAGCGTTTAGTGCTTGTTTGCTTTCTTCGTAAGAAAGTGTGAAAGAAATAAAGAAATCAAATTAATATTTAAAAAGCATCAAAAAAGGACGTGGCAGAGGAGTGGGTGGCGCCACCATCTGCAGTGTAACACATCAGCGTCGTCGTAACCGCTACAGTAATTATTCTCACTTTCCACAACGGCTTAATCACTGTGAGGCCACACACAGAAGCAGAGGCACTGACGTGTGCGCACGGGCCAAGACGACCTCCGGCAAACGGCACCAACCAACAGAGACACAGAAGAAATTAAATGCGAGCAAAATCCAAAGTGCTGCGGGATCCTTGCAATCAGCGCTCCCTCACTGCAGGGCCTTTAAAGCGTTCCTCGCTGCAACATCCTCACAACCCGCTCGGCGTGTCGGTGGATTTTCCCGTTCACCGGAAGAAAAACAGCGGGATGCTCCGGCAGTGGTCGAAGACACACAGAGCGCACCGTCGACGCGATCAACGAGCGCAGACACTCGTGAAGTGAGATCCCACAACCGCGATCCCTCCATCTACTCTCCTGGACGTAGAGGGGGCATGAAATGTCCTCTTCTCTACAGTAGTCCTGAAACGCAAAAAAAATCCGCAGGACATCCCGCGCAGCCACGGCCTCCTCAGCAGCCCGACAGTCCACGCAGCCGCACCGCTCCTCAAGAGGTCGCCAGGCCCGGTAAGGCAAGCAAAAGGGGACCAGCAATTTGGTCAGGGCGTTCAGAAAAATGAGGCGCAGCAGTCGGGTGAGCGCGGTCCATCCACGTCCTCCCCTCAACCGACCCACCACACAGTCGGATCACACCCCGAAAAGAGCCGTGGCGTCTAACGAAATAGCACGCACAATAGCACCTCGTGCTCTCCTCAATGAAGTGTCGTGGCACACACGAGGCATCACAGGAAGGGCAAATAATTGCATTCCATCGGCACAAGCACGGAAATAAGGCGCGGATTCTGCCTCTGTGAACTCTCATCCAAATCGTCTCAGCCACAGAGTTTGTGTCGCCGACCCTCAGGAAGGGCTGATGCGTCAACTGCCGCTGAACGATCCCTCAGCGATGCAACGAAAAGTGCCACTGTCTCTCGAGGTCCGTCATCACCCTTTCCTCCCATTGAGGGAAGGGAACGCAAAGTGACGGTGTGGGCATGTCTAACTGACAGAAATGAAGGAATTGACTCCAGCCGCGGAACAAATTGAAGGATCCTCCCCCCGAATCCTTCAAAGAGACCGGTCGGTCAGCTGCCGCGGTTGACGGCGCGGAGGACAACACATTGAATGTATGGAGCACCGCAGCAACCTGAATATATTCTGCAATATCCGCGGTCAGTTCATGAAAGTACAAATAAGGGATAGCAAATTCAAAGGGGCGTGTGAACCCGTCAACGATCACCCGCGCCGGAGGACCGCCACCCCCACCCTCCAAGGGCTTCTCAACGACGTCAAATATTTCCACCGCATGGCAACCACCACACAATCGCGTGGCATAAAGTATCGCCTTGCAGCACCCCATGCAATGCGGCAATCGAAAACCGTCTCGAACACGGCGTGCAAAAAAGGTACCAAAGGAGGGCGCAGCAAATGTCGTCCACATCTCAGCAGTTCCAATCATCCAATAAATGGCAGGAGCGTCAGACAGTACCCACGGACTCACCGAATATGGCGTCAAAAGGCAACGAGATGTCAGATGCCGAAAGGCTCGCATTTCCTCCCCCCGTGACACTTCCACAAATGAATGCAAATGCCGTGCCCTGCGGCCTCTCGACCGCTTCGAGGCAACGTTGCGGCCACATGGCGACGGCTCAATGTGGCTGGAGATCATATCCTGTCGTCGCGGCAAAACAGTACAGAAGGTAGGGTGGTGGGCCCGCACATTCGCCTCGTCGATGCCTCCCTCCACCGCAAGAGTAAAACACGCCTTCCCAACAGCCGCGCTTCGGGTGGCTGAAACACCTGCCCTCACACCGGCGATGAAATATGCAAGCGCCTGTAATTCCTTAACACCGTCCGTCAGAAAAAACAAACCGGCACTAAAATCCTGCAGCCACACATCCCTCGTAACCATTTGCAAACTCGTTGTCCTGCAGAAACGCTTGAACAGCATAAAAAGATGACCGTTCATTGCTGGCAAGGGACAATAGTACGTCGCTTTCATCCTGCTACGGAGGATCATGCCTCCTGCGTAACGCGGCCACAAGTACGCGGTGCGCCAACACCGAAGCGGTGGGAATGCTGCCCCACGACCCTCCCCTCCACAGGGGTCCAAGAAGTGCAACAGACCATCTTCTCACCAAAGAAAAGGCCAAATGGAGCGGACACTGCAGTGTGCGGACCACACAGCAGAAACACCCTCAGAGGACAAATGCTCCTGAATGCCCTTCAGAAGGGGCCAGCGGGTTGGCCGTGAAGCCAACAGACACCGGAGAGCCACCTGCTCTGCACGCATCCAATGACGCAATCGAGCGCGCAGTGTTGCAGGGCACATCAACCAGCCTGTTCTCGTCTCCGTCTGTGCGGGCACGACAGCCCTGCCATCACCCTTCGCCCTCACAAAGTATTCCACAGGGTCCTTTGAACCAGAGACCACCACACGGCGATATTCCACCGGATGAGTGCTCTCCATACTGCACAAAATAAAATTTTCCCCACGTCGATGACCGCAGTGAAAACGAGCATAACGATGAGCAACACGAGGGTTGTCTGTGCCCTGACTCATCACAACACTCTATCCTCCGTTGGTTCAGGCCTCTGCCACACAAGAGGCACAGATGTAACATCACTTACACGCAAAAGAGTGAAATACGCAAGAACATTGCCAGAGTCATACAGGACGCAACAACCACCAGCCCACTCAGCAGCCGTTGGGATCATATTCTGCGAAACATGATCCACGCTTACAGGAAATTTGTTGTCCAGTTGCACAAATAATTGTTGGGCCAAGCAACGTGGGCCCCCAAAACGACGACACCAGTCGATATTAAGCCTTGGAACCGCCAGTGAGAGCCATTGATTGGAATAAACACCAAACACACCAACGGCCAACAAAAACTGCAACAATGCACTCGTACTTCAATCAAAGAACGGATTCGTCTCGTCTCGGAAAAAGAAAGAATAAATAATATTTTTCCTCCTCACAGAGCCTTCCAGCAATGAAACACCATCATGCGTTCCACCCCTATCGGCACTACTCAGGAACACAAGAACTGTGCAATGTGTAGAGGACCCTGCAATCAAGCAAATGAGATGCTCCACGGCGGCAAACAGACTCCTCCCAGGCCACGCATCAACCAATCGCGAGCAGCATGCCTCTTCATGTGATCTCCGTTTTGGTTCCAACCGAGACGGAAGGCCTTCGTCGCTCAGCACCAACCCCGCGTTGCGTCGTTTCGTCAGATAAAACAAGTGAGGATGGCAGAGTGCATCATCGGGGAAATCGTCTTCATATGTGGGGAACGTCATCGCACCCGCCGGAAACAGGTGCGCATGATGTCCCTCCACGTCAGCTGCGCAGCCTGTCAGATGGAAAATTTCGGTAAAACGGAAGTCAGCGTACTCACCTCCACCCCAGACAGTTTTATCAGGACGGTCGAAACATCAAGTCGGGGGCTCCACACTTGTTGAGGGATATTGTGACCATCTGACAAGTCCACGTGCATGTTCACACAACGTCCTACTTCCTTTCCCCCTCTTCATGCGTCCGCACCGTCTTTTAAGCCACATCCAGGACAGATCAGATAGCGAGTGGCACCTGGTCAGCCAGCGTCGCTCCATTCCTCAAAGCACCGAAGCTCCCAGCCCCAAAATCACCCGTCCATCAATCAATGATGCCGTTGACACAAGACCTCCTCGGGCCAATGCCACACACTTTTTCCGGAGTACATGTTATCCCATGCCTCGCTGATGCCGCCCTCAGCATCCCCTACAGGTACACCGTGCGTTCATTCCTAAAATGCGGGTGTGGGCTACACCTCAAGGAAACTGCACAATAAACCTGCAAACTTCTCGTTGAAAGTTATCATTGTGTTGGGTGTCAGAGGCAACGCAATCACACGTTGCGGCTCCTCAGGAGATCAAAGAAGATAGCAATCAACGTTCAATTGCGATGGGCTTCGCAAGCCCCTTGCTACTTTTGTCCTACTGGGTGCTTCAGTGCGTACGCAACCCTGGATGCGAAACTCAGTGCCTATACGCCCTAAAAACGTAGGTGTAGATCCACGGAAAAAAAAATAAATGACACAACTGAACTGGAATGCCACAAATAAAAAATGTAAAATATATATATAACCATAAATATAAAAATAAACATCAATTGATGTACATATATATATATATGTATCGATGTAGATATGAGTATAGAAACATTCTATACAATTAAAATATATAGATATCTATTTAGATATGAATATACCCCTCTATCCTTTTTTTCCTCATTGACAAATTTTTTCGTTCATTGATTTATTGATTTGTTGCTTTATTAATTACAAACATGTACATCCCTAGACAAACAAATGGGTATCGATGTATTTATTTATTTATATTCGCCAATTTTGGTATTTGTATATTCATTATTACTTGCTTCTTGCCTTTTTTTTTGTTTTTTCCTAAATAACCTCAAAGACCCTCTTGCCGGCCGCCATCGGAGAGCACGTCCACCACGCTGATTGGAGATGCGGAAGAGAACCCCAACCCCTGGAGATGGCGCTGCAGGAGACGGCGTAAAACACAACCCGTTACGCGTCCCCTCGGAGTAGTGGAGTAAAAAATAAATAATCCGTCACTGCCAAGAAATCAAGAAACAAATTTTTAAAAAGTCAGTAAATGAGGAGAAAAAGAGGGAAACCTACCAGGAGAAAAGGCAATTTGCCGCATCTGCAAGGTGATTTGTGCCTTCTCGCCGCGTGGGAGTGCTGCCTGGGGGG